GACAGGGCAAGATATGACAAAATAATAACTTATAAATTATAAAGGGCTCATGATGGAGGGAGGAGCGGGGACAGAGGGGAAAAAAATGAGGACTTGATGCCAGGGCGTAAGTGGAAAGCAAATGTTTTGAGAATGATGAGGGCAATGAATGTACAAATGTGCTTTACACAACTGATCAATGTATGGATTGTGATAAGAGTTGTTATGAGCCCCTAATAAAACAATTAAAAAAATAACCAGCTCTAGCAGAGATGTGTACCTGGGAGAATAATTAATACTGGACAAATAGGCTTCTCGCACATTGGAAACCTCAAGGAAATAGCATCCCTCCAAATCAGACAGGTCTGGAGTGCCGCACATGACCCCGCTGGTCTGACTGTCCCAGGGGTTTCGTTCATTGAAGAATTCATTTTAGGACCTAGTGAAGTCAAGACCCCATTGACAGTCAGCACCTTCTGCTACTAACTCTCTTCTATTTCCCCTCCACAGTGGGAGGGGAACTGTTTTAGAACTGGGTTATACAAAAGGCTCCAGTGTCAGAGAAGGGATATGGGGGAGGCATGGGAATTATATGCAGAAAAGGGACAAGGATGGCTCTGGAGATGCTTGGGCTCAGGGTCCCACAGGTCTGTCATTATACACAGAGAACCAAGACTCAGGATGGGGATGGCGACTCCTTATCAGCCTCCTTTTGAGACACTTAAGAGTCACATATAGAAGGTAACCCTCATGTCAGGCTTGGAATCCCACTTATGCCCCAAGGAAAGGTCCACACCAGTTGAGATGGGACCCAGGATGACTCTTAGGGCTCACACACTTGGCTTCCTCTGCCACCTTCTAACCTTATCGAGGAAGCTCAGGGCCAGCAGTAAACAGACCACACTACATCCTATCAACCTCCACCCTTAGTTACCACACACCCATTCTCAGTAGGACTCACCATCCCAGCTCCAGCTTCTGAACGTCTTCTTGAATGTGCTCCTTGAGGTCAAGAATACACTTCACAAAGTAGGCTGGTTGTGGAAGCAGAGCCACTAAGCAGTTTGAAAAAAGGTCAGAGATGTGTAGTTCAGTGAGTCAAAAGGGTTTAAAATGTTGACTCGGGATTCGAGGTCTAAGCAAGAATGTCGCCTTTGCTCTCCACTTGCCTAGAACAGGCCAGATCTGTTCACCACTCCTGGGACCTGAAATGGAAGGACACACAGTTCAGTAAGGCTCTTGAATCTTGACCTGGCGAGGTTCAAAGTCATGTTCCATTCTGAAAACATCTGCATAAAAAGCAGGTGCTGATCCTGTATGCTAGCCCACAGGCTTGCATTGTTCATGTCCTTCACAGGCCCCTTCTGCTATGAACAAGGGCAAAGTCCATGGAGTGTCCACATCCAAGAACGTGAGGAGCATCTAGGCCTGCCTAGTCTAAAAACGTGAACCTCCTGACGCAGAGAGAGCTCTGACATGAGAGGAATGGAGGAGGGGCAGCAGCAGAACCAGAACCAGAAGCTGGAGCAGGACACAGAGTGCTGGGCTCCCCAAGACACACAGACACTAACGCTGAGTCCATTGGGGCAGGGGGGCTAGCATGTGCACGGGACTGGGTCTAGTTCCTAGGTCCTCAATTTGGGGATCTGAGTCTACTGATCCCTGAGCCCTGGAAGTTAATGCCTTTAGGTTAAGGCTTAATCCTCAGGGGCATCCCATTTTGCCATTTATTAACAACTGCTCACCCCCACTAAGAACTCTGTGACATGCAATGAAGAACTTCATCCCGAGCATTTCTCACCTGCATTGCAATCTGATAACTTCATTAACAACTTAATCATGAACATTATTCGATGAGTTCTGTGTGGCCACTAATGAAATCAATAACTAAGAAGTGGAGCGTGTTAGGTGAGACAGAACATATAACATTGAAGAGACAAGCAAACTCCGTATCTGAAAAAATTAGTCTTGACCATGACAGCCAGCAATCGAAGGAAAGTGCAAATACGGGCAGTCTTTCCTCCTGGTGCAGGCAGGGCAGTTCTAAGCTATGGTCACTGTGGACTGGAATTGACAGCAAGTGTAAGAGAGCCAAAGTAGGACCCTTGAGTACATCCCATCTACTACTAAAAACCATCTCATAAAAATCTTTCATGCCTTCAACATCAATGACCAATGAACTGAGGAGCTGTAAGATGACATCAAGAATATCAGACATGAAGAAAGAAAAATGTCATTTGTAAGACAGGAAAGCATGAAAAAGAACGAGTGGGTGTCAGAAGAGACACTACAATGGAACGTGTGAGCCTGGAAGAAATAAGTAACCCGAAAGGGAAGAGTACACTCGACAACCGTCCCCTGAAAGCCAGGAAAATAAATTCAAGGCCCAAGTTGGAATCGTGAAGGATTCTCCAAGCAAAATACTGGATGGTTCAAGAAGCTTCAAAAGAGCGAAGAAAAGAAGATGCAAGAACAAAACTATGGTCAGCATCACCCATTACAGAAGGAGCACATGATCAAGAATAAAGTACAAGACCAGCTCAAAAAGCATTTCTGTGGTAAGGACTTCCATGTCATCTAAAGACGGGCCTGTGGAGGAAACAGTGAAGGTGGAGAGGGAGGAGAGGGAGCACTAGACATGAATGTGATTACACAATTCATTTTAAGGTGATTTAATTTTGGGGGAAAAAATAAAATGTTCTGAAATTGTGGAAATGACCTAGTTAAAGGCCTGCCTTTGCAACTTAGTGCGAGCGGCTTGCTCTACATCTGATGGGTCACAGGACGGTTTGCTCAGGCAAGAAAGACAAACCCCACGATCAGGAAGTTGGGGGGCCCGTTCCCAGAGTAGGTAAATGTGAACAGGTTACTGAACACTGGTTTCAGCAGGAGCAACACAAGCACTCAAAGGGGGACAGCTGTTAAGTAGTTTCTTTCTTTCTTTTTTTCCCCCAAAGATCATTTTATTGGGGGCTCTTACACCTCCTTACAATCTATACATCAATTTTATCAGGCACATTTGTACATGTATTCCCATCGTTCTTTTCAGCACATTTACTTTCTATTAAGCTCTTGGGATCAGCCCATTTCCCTCCCTCCTCCTTCCTATACTTCTGGACCCTTGATAGATTATAATTTTACCAATTTTTAAAATCACTTTATTTGGGACTGTACATGCCTTCCTCCCAACCTTTGATAATTCATAAATTATTATTTTGTCACGTGTTACACTGACCGACCTCTCCCTTCACCCACTTTTCTGTTATCCGACCCCCAGGATTATGTGTAGATCCTTGTGATCGGTCCCCCCTTTCTACCCCTAGGTGGGTTTCCATGGTTATAGAGGG